AATATATAAAATGCAAGAATTTCAATCTAAATGTGTTGGCAAGATCTTCTGAAGGCATAAATTTTGCTACTGAAGCATAGCCAAAGATCTTGCAATATTCATCCACTCTCTGCACAGTGGATCTGCTGTACTGTCTGCTGTGTGCTGTGCACCTTTGCATTGAACATTGCTACCTTGCTTAAATAACATTGAGTTTTTATCCAATTGAAGTTGTCTAGCAATTTGTTTTATGTTCATTTTATATTGTTTGGTTTATCATGTTTTGATCTCTTTCATATACATTTGCTATCTTCTCTTGAATGTTCTTGTATCCTTTAAGACTAAGGTTATGAACTGATAATGGAGCTGGACTCAAATTTGTTTTCAATGAAGATATGGCAAATTTGCTCCACATTTTATTTCTTTGCAAATTATTGGTGAACTTGCAATTTAAGCAGGTTAATGATATAGTACACACCATGAACCATGATGGGATTATTGTACTTATTTGTAACAAAAAGTGGATTCCTTGCAACTTGTTCCTCAGGTCAGATTGAGAATCCTTCTCAATATGTTTGGGTTTGTCTGGCAAAGCCATGACTTTTTATGTTGAAAATTTTCTGTGTGGAGAGCCATTAGTTATTCCACCATAATAATATTCTGCAATTTAGACTTCTAATCAGATCTTTGCAGCAGCCAGCCACATAAAAGCAGCCAGCCATACCCATCATATATATATATAGGTATATATATATATTTGTAAAGTACGGTTGACACTCCTCCTGGAGAGTGAAATTGAATCAAATTTCTCTAAGAAAAGTTCCAATCCTAAAATGGCCTGTGTCCTAAAAAATAAGTTTGTAGGTACTGTATGTAATATATACATGTGTTCGTCCGTTTTTCATGGCTAGTATTTATGTAAGTACGTACCAGTGTATTTATTTAATTTCTTTTTTTAATATTAATCATTATTAGCCTTTTCTTTGCCAATTAATCTTTCTTTTGTCAAGATTATTAGTCTCTCTCTTGCTCTCTCTCTCTTGCTCTCTCTCTCTGCCTCCACACTCTCCAAATATGTTTGTGCACTCTCAATTGCAGCCATAGTTGCTACTTTACAGAAACTCAATAGAATTGCAATTCAATCCTCACCTCTTCTATACCCCATGCTATTCCCCAACCCCTAAATCAGAATCAAATCAATCATAACTAACATTTATTTTTCATACACCTCACATTCCACTCTCAGATGCTACGTGCTTTCATTCACATTCCTATTGCACGAAAAATGATTAAACACTTGTCCTCTTTTCTCTTATTCAACCGGTATGTGCATTGTGCATCCATTCACACACAACATCTCTGCACCCACACCAACAGTTCCCACCTCGGCTACCACCACCATACATTCATGCAGACATCACTTTCTCTCTTATATGCAGATAGCAAAGTCAGAAATACCACATAAATTAATAGGAGTGAACACAGATACAATTTTAGTACTGCAATAATACTGCATTAATGCAGCAAAATATCATATATATAGCTTTTTTTCAATCTGGAAGATGAGAGAATAAAAATGTACTATTGTAGCCTCATTTTGATTGTTTTTATTTTATAATCTAACCTCTAGGTATATATGTATGTATTATATGTATAATTTTATGCAAGTTTGATTGAAGACCAGAGCATGCTTTTTATTTACAATCTTCTTGTTCGTCTTTTTCAATGAGTCGATATATAATGTATATATCGACTATATATGTATAATGTGCATGCAACTTATATATGTATAATGTACATGTTATAATAACCATAGGAATGCACTTTAACCAATGGCTCTCTTTTTATTTTATATTTTTAAATATTCTGGGAATCATATCTTCAACAAAAATGTACATACCAATAAAAATTATTTATTACAAAATTTGATTTGTATGTAACAGAAAAATTTTGCATCAGCCAATCAGTACCAGTATATGCATTTTTGGGGGGCTTTTTAAAGGCACCAAGCAGGTTTTGGGAAACTTTGAGTCAAAGAATTCACCATGCTAATACTAATTTATATATGTGTTTCAAATTATTCAAATAATTATATACTGATCTTTAACCCTTTTTATATTTCAGAGATCTTTTCTTTTCCATGACTTAATTTTTAATGCTCTGCTGTTAAGTTTGCCAATTTTAACCTCTCATTAATTTAGTTACCTTGACATAAAAGTTTTCTTTTATTTGTGATACTCATCAAAGAATTGATATCTGGCACATTACAGTTGTGCTTTTAAATACTGTTTTTCAGTCTGAGCTGAGAAAATGTCTGCCAGTGTAAGTACTAATTGTTGATGAATTTTGATGTTAATCAAGTTGATGAAACTGATATAATTTATAGTACGGTAGGTATATAGTCTTGCTTTTATTTATCATGGCTTTGGGAAAGTGCAAGCTACAGCGTACGAAGGAAGCCAGTGCAGTAGTAAGGCTTCACACCAGAAGCTGCGACGCACGCCACCGCTGCTCTGTTCCGTACGAGCGCGACCACGGAGCAGGCCGCGTCCTCATGAGTACCGTACAGGAATTATCTTGCTGAACAATCATCATATTATTATCTACACGCTAGATACCCGGCCTAGAATATATTCGATGACTAATTATGTATTCGCACACCAAAGGTTATCTATAAACTGAAACGGCGACCAAGATGCAATAAGTTTCCCTAAATCTAGACTTCTAAATCCTAAGAGCTAATTAATGAGCCATGTGATCATGTTTAGCTTTGGATGGTAACTTCGAGGTTCAAAATTCTGGCTGGTAAGCACGATAAGTTTGATGGGATTCATAGTGAAGTATTTCGCCTCGTTGTATCACGAACTCTGAGTGAACCTCCTCGCCTGACATGGAAGTGCTTAAGATGTACGTGCAGCCTGGTGTTCCCAACTGCTCTTTCAAAAGACAGAAGTCGCACACGTTTCCTGTTAACCTGCGATCAAGTGCCTGCGGTCGACAAAGTTCTGATTTCCACTACACTGCGTTGCCAGCAACCACCTCTGAGCGTTGCAGCTCTGAACGCCTCTCTTCTGAGCGTTGCAGCTCACATTTTACTGAATCTTCTAACGCCAACGCTCTGCGATCAGCCTCTAAGCCCCAGCACCCGAGATCTTCTCGTGATTCCGGCCACAGCCGTTCATTCTCACGCAAAACTGGCGTGTCATTCATGCCGAGAAGCGAGAGCGCGGGCGTGGCCAGTCCTAGTGATGGTAAAATAGCCCCCACCACCCGCAGTAAGTGGAGGAGTGCCCTCAGTGTCCTCAGGACTTCCCTGGTCAGGTCTCCCTCTGCCCATAGAGACTGGACCCCCATAGGTGCCGTGACCACCGCGTGCTTTGGCAGCGCCCATGATGAAAACAGCGAAGGTGAGACTGCCGTCCTCTGCCTTTATAGTGGAATTTTCATGTCATAGATTCTCTATTATTTTCACTTTTTATTTGAGGAACTACCAAGCGGTTTTTTCACCTCGCTCGTGTAGGTCGCAATCACCACTTGTTTCTCGATTTAAGATTGTGTATTGTGTAAACAACTGTAGTATTGTGCAGTTGTTTAACTTTGACATGGTGGAACATTAAGCATTGTGGAAGACGCTATTTATCACAAGGGGTAATACTTGAGAGGAAACCGAAGAATAATTATTAGTTGAGTCGTATATATAGGTCTCGATTTAGCACCGTGGCACGCGATATCTGGCGCTGCCTCGCACAGTGCGACGGTGCAGGTGCACTGCTTATCAGTTGCCCGCGTGTCACGGTCCGGGCAGGTGTACGTGTGATGGTCTCTCACTGTTGGTTTTATCAGTGCGTCACCAGGTCTATATTTCCTCGCAACACTTGCTATGTATATGCGCTTCGTTCTTCCTGCTTCTATGATTCATTAGCAATTGTCTATTTTGTCTAAAGTGTCATAAGATTTACGTTTAGGCAAGTGGTAACTTGGTAATTTTATCTCCTTATTTTCGTGTACTACGGTCGTTACGTTATCTATCCGAAAAATGCGCATTTATTTCAAATGATTTGGCAAAATGGTGTGCTGGCATCACTGACGCACGCAGGCACAAGTCGAGCATAGGGTGACTGCGCTTGCACGTGATCACGCATAGCGCCGAGTGCGCACAAAAATAATCTCCTGAAACTTCCACTGAATGAGCTTCTCGCTTGCCCTGTTTTTTATCTTAACGTGTTAACCATGTAACATGATAAGCTGTCATGTAGATAGAGGGAAGGTAGTTAATTATTAGTGGCGGGGTCAGGTGGACTGGCTGGTGCCTGCGTCAGGTGTTGGTGGCCGTCACTGATTAGTGGCGTGGTCACTGTATTTTGCGACACGTGTAGAAGTGTTGCAGCGTCTTGTGTAGAGGCGTTGTATGGTCATGTGTACATGTGTTGCGTCGCCATGTGTAGAACTTGCGTCCTCATGTGTAGAAGTGTTGTATCGCCTTGTGTAGAAGTTGCGTGCTCATGTGTAGAAGTGTTGCATCGCCTTGTGTAGAAGTTGCGTCCTCATGTGTAGAAGTGTTGCATCGCCTTGTGTAGAAGTTGCGTGCTCATGTGTAGAAGTGTTGCATCGCCTTGTGTAGAAGTTGCGTGCTCATGTGTAGAAGTGTTGCATCGCCTTGTGTAGAAGTTGCGTGCTCATGTGTAGAAGTGTTGGGTCGTCATGTGTAGAAGTTGCGTCCTCGTGCGTAGAAGTGTTGCATCGTCATCCAAGTACAGATCTGCACGCTATCGTGTAATGATGGTCATGGCTATCGTCCCTCTAACTGCACGACATAGAGCAGCGCGTCTGGAGTTTAATTGAAACCCGCGTTTGTTGTCATTAATTATCATACGGATGAAATAGGTAGAAAACAGAACATGGCAGTTTTTTATAGTTTGTTTCATATAGCGAGACTTTTCCTTGTATGCTAGACGTTTCCTTGTACGTATGGCCCACGTTGCCTTATGTGGCGGATGTTTGACTATTTAATCTGTTTATTTCAGAACGAGACATTTTCTTGTAGTGCCCCATGTGGCAGTATTTAGCTAACACTTTTGGATACTTGCACGACGACGCCATGTACGCTGATGACTCAGACTACGATGGTAAGCTCACAAAAAATTATTCATTAATGAAGTCGGGTGTGTTGGTCGTGAACTTGTACGTCACTATAAGCTGTGCTGGATCACGTCTCGTGCCGTGTTGCTCATTCCTAACTTATATTCCGCCCATTGACTGTACCGTCAACAACTAACAGGTCGCCTCTCTGCAGATACCGCACTTAACTCGTCGCTTGTCTGTAAAAATCGTATACTACTGGTTAGAACTAACATTTGTAGGGTTGGATCTCCACATAAAACCTACGCGGCTGTTTCGATCCCACGTAAAATTTAGGGTCCAGTTTTGTTTACATGATAGATCGTTTCTATTTAAAACCTGCGACATAAGAGCTGCGGCTATATATCCCTCTGTATTTTCGTTAATTGCGAAGGTCTGATAAGATCGTCTTAAGATACAGATGGTTCAATGTATTATGTAATAATGCTTATGAAGTTATGATATATTTTACATTGTGTATGCTGTACTACCGCTGCCAATGTCGGTGTTCACACACATTGACGCGCAAAACCCACCAACACGCTCGCTAATTACGGCTATTGTCACTGCCACTAAGGTCGCCACTGCACTTATGTCGCCAGCCTTGAATAGAAACGATCTATTACATGAACAGAACTGAACCACACCTTTCTAGCGAGGCCGCAACACATGCGTATTTGTTATCTGGTGATCGAGGTTCCCTGACACCTGATCAAACGAGTGATGTTATTATTAACACATTTCATCATTAAAGCAATTCATCATTATGGTATTTCATCATTGAGATGTTATCCTGTTGTTGTTGTCCTAACCTATGAAATGTAACCTAACCTGCTTCAACATGTTGCTAAAATTGCAAATAGTTATTAATATTGCTCAGTAATTACATAATTACACCTACATTTGCTTATGTGTGCAAAATGTACTTTGTGCAATGTGCAATGATAAAATACCATAGTGATGAATTGCTATAATGATGAAATGTGTCAATGACGAAGTGTCATGAATGTCACCCGTAATAAACTCTAAGAAACCGTAAGTTCTAACCAGTGCTATACGATTTTTTTAAAAGCGGTGAGGTAAGAAGTGCGTGAGAATCTGTTGAGTGGCGTCTCTTGTGCCATCTACGTTAGTCATCACGGCTGTTGAAAGTCTATAATGCCTCACAGTGTACGTATGTTTCCTGATACTTTCAAAACCTGTGAGGCGTTCAGGCCGCTACCTTTGGAAGAAATTCATAGTTAGAGGCAATTCTAGTCTATTGTAAATTACGGACTAACCGCTTAATGGGAATACATCGAAATCTTTTTCATAAATTTTATCATGTCTTGTTAATCAGACCAACCGCTTAATTGGGTGACATTGTAATCTTTCATTCAATATCATGTCCTGTTAATCAGACCAACCGCTTAATTAGGTGACATTGTAATCTTTCATTCAATATATCATGTCCTGTTAATCAGACCAACCGATTGCACTGCTCGAAGTGATGCGACTTTTGATTGATATTTCGCTGCTGTTTGCGCTGAAATTCAAGCTGATGCAGCTNTAGAGAGCACGTCAAGTTCTAGGTCACCTATGTCCTAGAGAGCACGTCAAGTTCTAGGTCACTTATGTCCTAGAGAGCACGTCAAGTTCTAAGTCACCTATGTCCTAGAGAGCTCGTCAAGTTCTAGGTCACCTATGTCCTAGAGAGCACGTCAAGTTCTAGGTCACTTATGTCCTAGAGAAGGCCAGAAGTCGCGCTTGCGCACTAGGAGCAGATCGATGGCCAGTCGGCGCTGCAGAGCTTGCGACGCAGTTCCTATCACGAGTGTCCTTATTTGATTCTCATTGTATCCTCTTATCTAAGTGTTACACGTGTGCCGTTTTTATCCGTAAAGGATTATAGTAACTTGTGTAGATAATTATAAATAAATTAATGAGGTCTGAGAGATAGCGGAATGTTTTGAACGCCATGAGCCGACACCCAGTGGCTGTTGTCCCGCGGCCGGGATAGGCGTGTGCTCCACTGCTCAATTGCTAGCTGTGCCGCTGCAATTATTTTTTCACTATTCCAATGTGTTGATAATACTGCCTATCAGGCTCTTCATTTGCTTAACCATGTTGTCATGAGGACCATAAGCTTGATTAATCATCTACCAAACATCTATTCATCTACCCACCATGCATAATTTGGATCACACACTGACTCATTCCCCTAACCTTTTCTCATGCAAGTGACTCCTTCCTCATAACACTTCTTTTGTTGACCTGGAGTTCGTTTTGAGTTGCTTAATAAATCTGAATTGTGACGTGCAGGATGTGACGCATAATCGATTTGTTGGGCGTTACTGGTCAACTATGAGTCATGCTAGACCATCTACATTCATTCTGGGTCTCCGTGACGTTCATGCTTTCGCGTGAATAGCATACCTTTCATGCCACGCGCATGCAGGTGTAACACCTTTCATGCCACGCGCATGCAGGTGTAACACCTTTCATGCCACGCGCATGCAGGTGTAACACCTTTCATGCCACGTGCATGCAGGTGTAACACCTTTCATGCTACGCGCATGCTGGTGTAACACGCTTTGTGCCACGCGCAAGTGTAACGCCTTCCGTGCAACGTAGCAATCACTGAACCACGTCTAGCTGTAACACTTACCATGCGTACGTTAGTACGTATAACACTTACCATGCGTACGTGTAACACTTACTATGCCTACGTGTAACATTTTCCGTGCTTACTTGTAACACTCACTATGCGTACGTGTAACACTTTCCATGCGTACGTATAACACTTACCATGCGTACGTGTAACACTTACTATGCCTACGTGTAACACTTTCCGTGCTTACTTGTAACACTCACTATGCGTACGTGTAACACTTTCCATGCGTACGTGTAACGTCTCCTTGAAATACGCGCTTAACGTCAGAGACACCAACGTCACTCTAACGTCACTCGTGGATTGCGTAGAATACTCAAGTAGCATCGTGTTGAAATCAAGCATGAACCGAATCCTGCTTCGCAATGTTTCCCAACCGCGCTAATTCCATTGCAATATTCAATGTACAACATTCATTCCTGGTTATTTTCAATGTTTCAAGACAAGATTAATTTTAAATGTACAAATTATTAAAGAATTAGCAACTTTCTCATCCAGCATCTGTAAATAGCGGTTAACGTTATATAGATGACCCATTAGATGTATTTGACTCATTACACCGAATCTACTTAATTTGACTCGATCTCTTGTACGCATGTTTATCATTCCTTCAGCGTTGATGCGCTCTCGAATGACTGATATTAAATCATGAATCTCGGAAGAATTTTCACCGAAATATTTTCGATATCTTCATTTCCTTGGGAAAAACGCCGAAAATTACTCGCCAAACTTCGTAATTTTCTACAAAATGTGTGCGTTTTTGTGGTCAGGTAACTTCTGATATAACTTCACGCTGAATAAAAAGCTCGGCCGATAAAAATATCATTCTCACTTCTCGTCTATATCGTCAACTAAATTTCCGTTGTTGCGGACATCCGTTTCTCCAGGAGCGGTTACCTGATAATACTTTACTTCAGCTTTAAAACTTTAATCTGATAATTACAGCACATTCACCGTAGATCACAAATCTATCATATGGAGTAACTATATCTGCACCGAAATTATAGAACGGCGTTTTTAAATACAGTTTGGACAACTTATTTCCTTCTATCAGGAAGAGGAACGCTTTATGAAGCGAGGTGATGGCACTTGCTGCGTTAGAGACTTGGGTGTTATATTGACGCTAGACCCGACCGCTACAACGCCGCGGTGGAATGTAATAACGAGTCTTTATTGCATTCCTCCACTGATCACCTTTAAAATATAATTTCGTTGATTTATCCTAATTTATGTTATCAAGCCTTCACGTCATTAATTTGTCCAGCCCGCGAGTCACATCGCTAAGGTTTAACCATATTCATTCACATGCCATATCACTCTTGATAATGAATCAACCTTTTTTATGACGACATATTCATTTCAAAATTACAGAAGTTCACCGTGTCACTTCCTAAGTGAATATTTTTCGTGTGTTGCGGGATCTAAGTCTTGCGAAGAGTTCTTGTGTATAGACCGTGCAGCAGAACGTCAAACGTGTCGATCCGCAGCCCATCCCGCCGGCCTCGCGCCTTTTGGAGACGCCCCTCGGTCGAGGAGAGTCTTCTTGATCTGCCGCGCAGTGTTGCGACCTCTGGCGAGACCTGGTCGTCGTGGTGGCCGTCCAGTGCTGCAGCGCAAGAGCTTCCCTACGTCAGCAGCCACCAGCCTGTGGGTGGTGATACTTCGTCAGCATCGTGCGGTTCGACACGGGTGGTTCTCAGCCGAGGTGTTGTTGAGTACCCGGATGTGGAGCTGCGAGACACTTCGTGTATAAGCTTCTCGGAGTTCACTGCCAACTCTTCGGCCGCGGACGCTGTGTCGATCCCTCTTGAGCGCCGTTCTTCACTGCCGCATTGCTCGTCTGACCGAGAAAGTTCTTGTGGCAACGATCGCCTGGAGCAAGAGCAAACTAAAGGACCTACGGCTAGTTCTTGCCTCAAACCGCACATATTCACGGTCATGGGTCGTCTCAAGACTGGCGTTAACGACAGTGAGTATGCGTCTAGCTCTTTAAACGAGCTCTTACCAGTATTACAGCGCGCACGGTAATAATTAAGCCTTCGCCATTATCAGGCCGTATTACATCTGTTTCGAAATACGTATATAATTAATTCACGTTTGTGCTTGTATGATAAAGTTTAAGTTCAAATTTTGTTTGAGATTTCACTAATTATTTTTAATCAAAAATTCTCAATTATTTCATTCTAAAATCGAAACGATAAATTACACTTGTTTGTGACAGGACGTTCATGGCCTTAACTTCACAGGAAGAATCACAAGGCTGAATGCCAGCCACGAACTTATTTAGATTGTACTCGAATTAATTGGTAGTAAAATACCACGTTTCTCGAGTTAGATAATGGAGTATTTAGTATTGAAAGATATTCAGACTCGTTATTCCGAAATTATTCAAATACACTAGGCTAGTGAGGTGAATAATGTTGGCGTGTATTCTGGCATATTGATCAGAAATCGATTAGAATCATTTGGCGATCTGGCAATTTATTGTTATACTTCAACGCCTGTTGATTATTGACTAATGAAAACGCACCTTAACATTTTGATAAGTTTGTATAACCTATATTGGCGTAACCGCTCGCCGCTTTTTAATTTATTATACTTATTGATAATATCTTACATAGCTTAGTTTAAATGTGAATAATCTAAAGCCTAGTGATCAACTGCTGGGCTTAGGCCTGATTTTCGTTTGTTTAGGACTTGTGTGACGTAATCTTGTTCCTAAACACACTCGGCATTTGTAATCGATCGCAGCATTTGTCCTGACATTTATACGAGTCTCTGGTCTTTGTGCTAGTAATGAAACATGAGATTGAGGTTCAGTCGTACGCTGACCCTTGGCCTGAAAGTGCGTGTGCTTTTACGCGACTGAAGCATCTGAATTAGTGGTGATATTTAACAAAATTATACAAATAAAAGAAAAAATGATGCAGGAGAGTGTACCGGAGCTCGGTCTCGTCACTATCTGTTTGAATGGTGGGTGATTTTCTCTGAAATGTGATGCACGAGAGTGTACCGGAGCTCGGTCTCGTCACTAGTGAGTGTATATACCGGAGTGTATACCGTCACTAGTGAGTGTATACCGGAGTGTATACCGGATCTCGTGTCACTATAGGTATTTGTTTAAATGGCAGTAACTGCTGGGAAATTCATCGAAAGTGAACTGTATGGTAAGCCCTTTAAAAGTTAGTTTGTTCCGAAGCACGACCAACAGATGCAACGAAGTGATGTATCATAACTGTTGAACTGCTATTTTCAACAAAGAAGTGGCGCATTGTCACTTGAAATGCTATTTTTAACAACAATGTTACCTGTTATTTCTGTTGAACTGCTATATTCAACAACGAAGCGACATATTATCTTCTGAAATGCTAATTTCAACAACAAAATCATGTATCACACTGTTGAACTGTTATTTTCAACAACCAAGTGACGTATTATCACTACAAATGCTATTTTCAACAAGGAAGTGACGTATTATCACTACAAATGCTATTTTCAACAAGGAAGTGACGTATTATCACTACAAATACTATTTTCAATTTATGCTATCGTGATAGTAAGAACAGTAATATTTTTGATGCTTGAGCGCAGTCGAGCTCGTGTTTCAAAATGGTGTCTCAGTCAATAAAAATTCAAGCAGTTGACAAAGTTTCTGTAATTTCTGGTCATCGATGCCTCATAAATATTGCGTGTAATACTTATAAAGCATACAGCGTGTTATGCATCATAATGAAGTCGTGTCTTGGGTTATCGCTCGCGTTTTGTTCCGTCGCCCCATATCGAGGGTGACTCATCTGGATGTCACCCTCCCATTCTGGTATCATTATCATGTCTTTGCCTTGTAGGCGAAAGCATTATATTTACATTAATGTGCAGGCGGGATGCAACATTAAGTCCTTTTGTGCATTATGAAGCCTTTCGGGAAAGAGAAGTTATATGGAGTCGCAGGCAGTATTCATGCACAACATTACAGCAAGCGTCTCGCGAGTTACCGTTTGTTTGACGTCAGCTCACAGCGGAGTGTGAGCAACCTAGATTTGAATTATGCTTCAATCCACTTGAAAAAAGATGTTTTATTATATATTTATGTGTGACGCGCATGTCGGAAACAAAGGCTGATGTGTTGTTCACTATCTCGTTGGCAACGTTATAGATACGTGTTAGCGTTTACCCTTTGTTAACCTTATAGTGGCGATATAACCTCTTTGTCGGTCTTTTAGGCACGAATTGCAATAAAAACTTTAATGTATCCGTGATTAAAGGGGAGTGCGTTAGATCACTTTCTGTATATAACATCCGCTTTCTCTGATATTTGGGAGGACCTCGCTTTTTTGCGACTTGTTACAGCTTTATTTGCAAATACAAGGAATTAACGCTGTGGATGCTATTTGTACTAAAGGCCCGGCAACCTGATCCACCGTAACTATAACTTCTTAACCCATTGTCTCGCCTATCCTGATGATCTTTATATCAAGCGAATGTCAGTAATTCTCTTTACCATATCGTCATACAACGAGTGTTTGCCCTCTATGTCAAATACGATACTTATATAGCCGCGATATGACACACCTAGCTTCGACTGTAGCGTCATTATCTTATTTATATTTACCGTCGACACTGAGATCTACATGAAAATCAATATAATTGGGTCAATATTATGCCTTAATTAATCGCAGAATGTTTATAAATGCGCCCTTAAAAGCAAACTTACAGTAACTATTTACACCAGCACTCGGTTAATCGTAAAATTATCGCGTTCTCATGATCGTAGAGTGTTGTGCGTGGTTATTCTTTTACCGTGCTGCTCTGATCCTTACATATATTTTTTGGTTGTCTATGCTGCCAGTTAGTGTTTGGTGCTGGTGCGTGAACACAGTGTTTGGTGCTGGTGGCGATGATGTTGTGATGTTTGTNTGAACACAGTGTTTGGTGCTGGTGCGTGAACACAGTGTTTGGTGCGGGTGGTGATGATGTTGTGATGTTTGTGACAGAGGTGGAAGGTGCTGGTGCGTCACGGGGCAGTGATGACGTCAAGATCAACATAGGAGAGCACCTGAGTGTGGGCGAGCACGCCTTCAGTAACATGGAGGACGACATAGACAGGCAGCGCCTGCTAGGGGCGGCGCCCTTTGATGCTTCGTCTGCTGCCATCACCACCAACCTACAGAAGCAGCAGCGGTTGGTTACTAATCTTCTCTGCATGTTCATGATGTTGAAACAACCGAGAGGTATCGTTGTTGTAGCCAAATCAATGTTTAATCAATGTTAGTAAAACGTCATTTGCATGCTGGGTTGCTACAAAAATAAATATTGCTGACTTTCACATGAGCGATTATCTTGTCGTTTCTAAATAATATTACCGGATAAGATAAAAATAGATAAATTGGCCATAAAACGTGTTGGCGAATGCCATGCAAACTCTTAGCTTCACAGTGCACCGATGTTCAATATCCAGTCACTGGCCTTACATACTTGCTGAGAACATGCGGTCTGCGATTCCTGCACTGAGAGAAATTGCTGGGTCTGGATGAGTCAACCCATGACCCATAATCCATTTAGATGAGTCAACCTCGTTCAAATATGCGATGCACTTTTTCGACTCACTTTGCCTATTTGTGGCCCACATGCTGACATATTACTGGCCGTTTAAATTTCAGGCATGACTCACTTGTGGCGTTAAATCGCTATTGACGCCACCCGTAGCATGGATACGTAGGTAATGTCTGGGCGTCAAGTCGCTTTTGACATAATAAATTAGTCGTACCTGAAATTTGAAGGGCAATAAATACGTCAGTAGGACTCACCAATGAGGCAAGTGAGTCAAAACAAGTGCATCGCATATTTGGACGCGGTTGACTAGTCTAAGTGTGTCATCCAGACCCACTAATTTCTCTACGTGTGTGTGTTCCTATGTGTCTTTACTACTAGTTTCTCATTTCATCTGCTACACTCGTTGACTAAACTCATATTTTCATATTTTACGTTGTGAAAATCTGAGTTTTTCTCACGAACTGTCCCGCTGGTCAGGTTCGAGCGCTTGCTACGCCGCAGCAAGACGGAGGACCTGCGAGAAATATCAGGCATCGGCTGCCTCTACCACTGCGGCCACGACAAGCTCGGCCGTCCCGTCATCGTCTTCATCGGAAAATGGTTTAAGTACAACGAAATCAACCTCGAGAAGGTGCGTAGCTCTTATAGCTGTCACTGTACCTATAGTTTCAACAAGTTCATCACAAATAACCTTAGGTTTAAATACAACGAAATCAACCTCGAGAAGGTGCGTATCTCTTATAGCTGTCACTGTACCTATAGTTTCAANTCTCAATGACCAAAAAATCGGATGTGTATAAGAGACAGGTTTATAACTGCAGCGAAGAACCGACCGCTATTCAAGCTGAAGCCACCAATCAAATACGATAAATTGGCCGCAATGTGTACTTGTGCCGCTACGTGTATCCTGCGAGCCGATCATGTAATTAAGGTCCATTGTTGCAGGCTGTGCTGTACCTGCTACGTGTACTGGAGCCCGTAGCGCACTCAGACTACGTCATCATTTACTTCCACACGCTCACCTCTCCTGAGAACCATCCTGCTCTCACATGGATCAGACAAGTCTACGATGTGCTGCTATATAAGTCAGTGATTTATATTTACATTTCCGCATTCTTATTAATAATATGAACCTTTTCTCCTTCCTTATCAGTCAGTTCTTTTCAATTATAGCTTTTTATTCTTTTCATTAACACTTTGAGCGCAATACTACCCAACAATGGCTCAGATGGCCTTCTTTCGGACGAATTACGCGATTTAGTTATTTCATAGCGGTACATGACGGCGGTACTTCCTTACGACTAAAATAAAATTGAATTTTATATGCCGGAATCTATAAATTCACTAGTAAATGGAACCTATAAATTCACTATTAAATATAGGCCTTTTGTCCGTGGACTTGACCGTTTTTAGTCCATCAGGTAACCCTGGTTTGTCGTACTATCTCACCAAACGTATTAATATAAACTTCTTATACCATCTTAATCTGTTCATAAATATGGATGCAGTTTAAACCGTATACAAGACATAAGGCATAAATTCTTCATAAATTTTTAAGGCATAAGGCATCGCCTGGACTTATACTTTTCGGCCATTCCTCAACTTGTATATTATATTTCAGGCACAAGAAGCACCTGAAGGCGTTCTACATCGTGCACCCCACCCTCTGGACCAAGATCATGACGTGGTGGTTCACCACCTTCATGGCGCCTCAGATCAAGCACAAGGTGCGTTGCCACGGTGCTTAGGCTAGGTGCGCTGCCGCCCTGCCACCTGGGCTAGGTGCGCTGCCGCCCTGCCACCTGGGCTAGGTGCGCTGCCGCCCTGCCACCAAGGCTAGGTGATCTGTTCGTATTGCCTGCAAGTTCGGTGCAATTTCTTCCCCTAGTATTGGTGCAGCTCTTGTCTCAACACTCCGCTTATTATGTTGTGCTTGTACTGCAATGCTTGTTTACTTACTGTACCTTGCCTACTGGTGACTATGTCTATGGAAGAATTTCCTGTCTCTAGCATCTCCTCAAAACGGCTACGCCAGAGTTGATTAAATTATCTTTCCTCTTACGTGTATCTCTTCATACTCATCTTTTTATCGTTATTATTATTATTATTGCGTACGTCAAATGTTCAGGAAATTGCTATATTATCTCTCTTCTCATGTCGTGACGCTTACGTCCTGATGTTGCAGGTGTTCTCCGTGACCGGCGTCGAATATCTCTACGACACCATCAGCTAGCATTATATTGCATTGAACTTCCTCGTTTTTATTGAGTTTTTTTGCGCAGGTGAACGGATTGCGCTACGTCAAGAGCAACTCTTGAGACTCGGCCTTCATGCAAGCGGACGGGGAGCTCATGGTGTGAGATGTGCTGGTCGCAACTGCAGAGTCATGCATTTCTTCCTGTCATATTACTTAACGCTTGCGTGGGAAATGCGTCGACTTCAAAAAAGAAAAAAGGTCAAATTAAACCAAAACTGAAACCGTCCGTCCCCCCGAAGGTAAAAGGGGGCGATCTATGGATCAAATGTGAGTAGTAATGTATTGGTTACATTGATTCGATTATTGGCTTCCCTGGCGATATGATGTGTCGTGAACGTGAATGGACTTCTTGCCTCACAATTTTTCTCCATTTCTGGGTTTATAAACTTCACGCTTCAGTATAGAATACATAAAATTGTTTACTGAACAAATGTTTGTTCGTCAAGGGGCAGGAATACGCGAGCAGTACAATATTTCCCCTGAAACCCTGCCGTGAGGGAGTCTCTTGTTCTTAAATTCAGAAAGACGTTGCTGGATGAAGCGCTGATCCAGTTATTTTATTTACTGGACAAATATACCATGCTTTATATCTTTTAGTTCCTATTTATATTTTTTTAATCTCGAATCTAACATATTTATTTTAATTTTGAGAAGCTTTGCCAAAAACATTTGGAAAGTGAAGTCATTGAGGCCTCATTTGAAAGCTCTAATGGATTTCAGTTGAATAAGGGAAGTGGTTATCTCTGCCTGGAAAGCTGATTCGTTCTTAGTTTAATGCCCATTTTTCTATGAAGCTAGGGATATGGAATATGTGTGCGATGCTGTGTACACTTCGTAGCAATAAAATGATAAGAAAATACAAATTCACATTACCTGGATGCGTCGCTTGGGTATCTGAGCTGCTATTTACCGACAGACAAATGACGCTGAAACAATGTTTAAAAACTTTTTGTTGATGTGCGGCATGTATGTTCCGCCACCAAATTCCTGTGCAACTGCTATTTCTGAGAGAAGTCCAGGAATAGATGACGGAGAAACATATTTCTGCATACTGTATCGCTGCTGCCAAATTCCGTGACCTTAGCCATGAGAAGAACATTTCCTCATTTCACTTACTCGTCTATAACTTGGGGGATCAAATAATTGTACAGCTGCTGCGAACGCTGAAGATATCTTATAGTCTTGAGAATAGGTATATAGTTGCGATGCGGTGAGGTGGGATTATCTCTAAAAGAGATAGTTTAAAATAGCTAGACCTCTTTCTCCTTGTTGCTTCCCACTGCTTCTCGTATCCGAGTTACCCAAACAACCAAGCAGTGATATATCTAAACCTAAATTCTGTTGTGAAGTGAGGTCGTGGCGGTTACCTGCATATTGAGCTCTGTAATCGTCGAGCAGTGTAGCGGTAGCCTAGTAAGGATGTCGCAGTTGGCAGTTATGCGCTGTCTAGGTAGTGTTGCAGTAGCTCGTGTAAGCTACGATCGTGTCTTTCATTAGCAGAAAGATATTCGTGTACGCGTTTTGCTTCGATTTGAGACCCGTTAGTAGAGCACTTCTTGGAGCGTGCTGTCTTCGCAGCTCACAGTCGCACTGTAAAAATCTTACACCCTCCCGCCATCAGTTCTAATCGAGCCAAAGACAACTTCATGTTATCGATTTTCCAACGCTAACTCTTCGTTTTCTTCTTCATTCTTGTTGTTTGTTCATTCCGCAACAGCATACGATTTGCAGTTGCGTGGCGTGAATCCGTGCGAAAAATATGTGAATTGGTGCCTGGTTCTTTGTGCGTGTAAGTTTCAAACCTTTGTATTTCATTCTTTATTATCAGTCTATCTTCTCGTTTAGCAACTCTCCATTCATTTTGAACACTTCACTGAATTGGCTTCGCTGTTGTCGTGGATGAGAGATCATAAGTCGGCATTTGTCAGCATTTTAATCAGTAAACAAGTTGACTCGTTAAGCATAGAATATAATCTTATGAAAGATACTGAAATTTTATTCATAAATAATTGTTAAATGACGTCACGTTTTCGCTGCGTGATGAATTTCTCCGACGTTCTTACGTTGCGAACTTGTCTCATACTCTCGATAGTGCTGATGTTTTACTGTTCAAGTTTCGCTCCTAAAAAGTTGGTTACATTTGACGTTTGTACATTTGTCAACATTTGTTTCTGTCGTAGCTCGAGTATCAATCATTTAGTGAGTGTATTCGCCATATCGAAACTCACCTCTTGCCTAATCCATGTGCATTGTTCCAAAAATGATATCTGTTTCACCTGTAACTGGACTAACTAACTGGTTTCATTAAAGATTGAAACAGCTTTATTATGTTCTTTGTAACATTGATCTTGTTTATAACTATTTCGACCTTCTGTGATCTTTAAATAACTTGTGATTTTTAACACGTCTGGAATCGGTTGATATTCAAACTTGGCACTGTATCGGGAAAGCAAGAATAAATGAAGTGCATGAAATAGTAATAAACTCGTTGGTTAGTGTGTTGTTAGATGGTTAGTAATTACCATAGTGGTTTATAACTATCATTCATATCATGGGCTTCGTAGGGCAATAACTCCTCATGTATCTAATTGTTACCCAAATTGCGGCCGTGATACTGATATCTCCACATGTTGACCAACTGCTACGGACTTTTCTTGCATTTTTCACCCCCAAGTGTCGTGAATTTCAGCTCTTATTAAGTATTAACGCCCCGGGGCTCAGTGCACGCCGCACGGTATCATCGCTTCCAGGCAAATGACGTTGCCGCAACGCTGATTACAAGTTGTTATCGTTGAAATAACTTATAATCAATCAACGTTATTTCAACAACAGATATAAACGTCATTTAAACGTCAGTTGCATGGTAGGGTCCAGCGTCGTGTGTGCTATCGTGACCGCTTCTCATAACACGCATTAAACAAGCTTAGTTCATCATTTAATTCCGCCTTTTATTTTCTAGTGTAAAGAAATTGTTAACATTGTAGGATTCCTTGCAGATGCTCTTTGTGCGCCTTATTTTAATCGAAATGTATTACGCTGCGTGACGTCGCCGACAGGTTCAGTGTTATATGTGCTATTGTTGATATCATTTAGAGTTGCTGTTAATTACTGTGGGTAGCAGAGTTACAGTTTTTAATGAACACACATAGAAATATTTAATGAATATTATAAAGCTTATGTGTCTTTCATTTGCTTCTCTCCTCCTCTCGAGAACTCGATTTACTATCTTGGAAAGTCGTGCCATTTCACTCGTGTATTATTTGTTCGAGAATTTTTGTGGCAGGTGCAAAACGATGAATTCACAATCGTCAACAACGCCTGATATGTTCTGTTCTTTATTTAAATATAGTTGAGCTGTTTTTTATAGCTTTCTCCAACACCTCATTACGTTAGGATTACATTGTAGGTTAGTTTTTAATTAACATGTTATCTCAGTTCGTAGCAACTTCATGCCCTTCACCAAATCAACTCGGTTCACGACTTCTTGAGATAATTCGTATGTTTGGAAATAAGGTAATTTTTAACGGAAATCGGCAATATTATTTCCATTCTCTTAAGATTTTTGGGCAAAAAAATTAATTTATTGAAAACTTTGCAAGAATTTCATGGTGATCGAACGTGATCGCGCGTACCATTCCAGAACATATATGCATAATTGCACGTATAAAAATGAGCATGTGTATTACGAGTGCATACTCCAGCTACATAACTGATTCTTCTGCTGCTTCAGTGAGCTGCGCTATTTCAATTATTATATGTTTGCATAGCAGTACAGATGTTAACGCTCAATGGTGAATGTGCAATGAAGATAATTTATACGATGTAATTGGAAATGATAGCGTGCTGACTTCCGGCACGACCTTCAAATTGGTCATACACGCCGCAAAAAAAAAAAAAAGATATTTTTACTAGCGTCAAAAAATTAAAAATTCTCGTAACACTAGTATGTTAAGAAGGGTTCAATTAATACGTACCCACAGCAATCTTAGGACTAAACCGTTTCGTTCTGCACGTCGCACGTCTACTGAAGCGCTGGCTGCAGCGCCATGAACGCTTCTATAAACATGCCCAGCATAGTGCGTGCCCACTGGCCACGCCACAACTGTTCATTGTGCTCTTGAATAAGTCAATGGAAGGGAATTTACGCTTAAAACTTGAACATTCTGCATTGATCAATTAATTAAAAGGTTGTAATATCGCTGCCAATGCTCGACATTCTCACAGAGTTTAAAATTGAATTGTGTTGGGAGAGCAAGAAGTACATCGGCTTTTTTCGTAACACTTTCGTAGCCTTAGGTATGCGTTTCAATGCCTATTTCAGGAATATTGTGGTTTGTATCAGCCTTGATTTATTTTCCATCTGATAACGCAGTTTCTTGAGAAGCGAGACTGTCTCAATGACCAAAAAATCGACCAAACAGCTTCTGACGGGAAAAAACTGCTAAACGCACTGCGGATCTGAACTGTTTTAATGTATGCCTGATGATCCTCGACCTGAAGCACATCAATCGCAACGGTGCACATAATTGATGCGAGTGTGTGCGAAAATGATCAAATATTTCCCGTATCTCTGCCAGTAGAGTTTTTTCTTGACACTCAATGTTGTTTTCATATACAGTATTATCTCATACATAGAATGTATCAAGGGCAGGGTGGCCCAGTGGTTACAGTTTAGAGTACCAAGTTTTTGGTCAGAATTGGCGCGGAGGCTCGGCGGTTGAACAAATTGAAATAAGAGCAGTCAGCAACCAACATTCATTTATACAGTAATATTCTGCCTCCTCTTATGTTACGTTAAGTTGCACTGAAATTTTTGTAGTTTATTTACATTTGCCAGTAGATGCACTCATACACACACATGCACGCACTTATCATCATTCATTCATTGCCACATTCATCCACGCACTTACGATGCATCATTCATTCAAAATAGAAGAAAGAGCGGAGTCGTTGAGGTAAGGCCGGGGCCCGGGTTA